GTATCTGTTTCTGATATTCATTCTTCATTTATTATTCAAAATCAAATAACAAAATAGAAGAATAAAAATTTAAAAAAAATAGCTCCAACACATCAAACAGAATTGGTACACTTTTAATTATCTCATTTTAAATAACAAATAAATCAAAAGACTAATTGAAATACATTGTAAGAAATACAATAGTTTAAACAACTGGAGTTGTTGCGATTTCAACGACTGGTGGTGCAGATTGATGAACCTCTTGAGTAAATGGATCAATATATCTTGGTCTTCTTCCAGATGCAGTATGAGGTTGACTAGTACTAACAGGTGGAGTTGCTGTTGGTGGAAGAGGAGAGCTTTGAGGAGGTAAAGGAGAAGAAGGTGGCATAGGACTTGGAGTAGAAGAACCTTTATTATTTAATTCACTCTGTTTTATCCATCTTTGACTTGCCTCATCAAAAACTAATTTGTCTTCAGTCTCTTCAAGATTCATATTTGTGGCATTTCCCTTTCCAAACCATGAACCAAACCAACCAGACATTCTTTTGTTATATAAGATTTTATAGTTTTCTTTTTTCTCTAATCCATTCTTCTTTTTTTTTATTTTTTTTTTCTCTCTTTTTCTTTTTTCTTCTATATTTTTTTTTATTATACTTTTTATTATTTATTATCAGGGTTTTCTTAATTTACTTTTTAGTTCTTGTGTTTTTATCTTTTTAACAAAACTTCTGTAAACTAAATTTATATGATAGCTTAATAAATATGAATCTTTAATTAATGGTCATTCCTTTTCTTCAGATTCTTGTGACTCTTCTTCATTATCGTTATTTATAATTTTCATTTGACCGTCTTTTGTTTCTCTAACTGATGGTTGGTCTTTATATAAATCATAAATTTGTTTATTTGTTGTAATATCATTTACCTCCTTATCATCTCTACTTCTAATGTACCTTGGAAATCTTAAACAAACCCCTCTTCCTTCTGTATTAACCAATTTTATACCAGCCTTATATTGCAATGACAGTGATAAATCAGCTCCTTTAATTTCCCATACATCTTTTGGTTCAAACCAGACATCAGGAAGGTTGTCTCCATGCTTTACATTCTTTTTTTCTTTGCATTCTAGAGTCTTCAAATGTTCATATAATTTTTGAAGAGCTTCATCACTAAATCCAGTTCCAACTTTTGTAACTGTCTCAAAATCTCCACTGTCTTCATCTCTACATGCCAATAAGAATGCTCCATAGACTCCAGCTCGTTTTCCTTCTCCCATCCAAGCCCCAACTGGAACAAGGTCAACTGTATCGGCTAATCCATTTAAATAATCTTTTTTTAATTTATACCATGTGTCAGTCCTTTTGTCAGGAATATACTCTGCGTCATAGATGAGAGTTTTGCACATTAGTCCTTCGGTTCTATGGTTTATTGCTTCTTCAAAAAATGGTAAAATGTCTTCCTCATTTTCAATATTCTTAAATCTTGCAAACAAAAATCTCTGTGCAACTTCATGAAATGTTGAATGTAAAATGTCACGACGTTCTTTTAATGGTTTATCCATTAAATCTTTACCATTTAAATAAACAATGTCAAAAACATTTACACAAACATTAATGGCAATTGAATGAACTGATACTCCTTTTTTTGCTCTTCTTCCAAGAATTTGGAATTCTTGAAATTCATTTGTTTCTCTATTAAAAGCAACAATCTCACAGTCTATAATAAATGATTGAACATTTGGGTTAACTGCTTCTTTTACTGCCTCAATAACATCAGGATATTTTTCGGTATAATTTTCAAGATTTCTTGTAAAAACCATAATTTTATTTTTACTAAAATGAATTTGACCACGTTCACCATCATACTTATATTCAGCAGTAAATGGAAATTTAAATCTAGAAGTGATGTCAGTTATACTTTTCTTAGGTTTAGCTAACATTGGTCTAAATGGAATAAATAATTGAACTGAATTTGTTTTAGCAAATTCTTCAAATGGATCATTTGCTGTAATGTGTTCAGATAAATATTGAAATGATGGAACACGAGCAACAGCATTTGTAATTAATTCAGTTAATTCCTCTATTCGGTTGTTTTCTTTTCTGATTGAACAAACAGCCTGTGCTATTGCAGGAGGTAAAGACCTATCAGTAAAACCAATTCTAAAAACTCCTTTAAGTATTCTCAAAATAAAACGAATTTCATTTCCTATAGCTGCAACTAATAACGCAGTAATTTTATTCTTTTTAATATCACTATTATCAGCTTCAAGAATCTCTTTCATCCGAAGTACAACTCCTTGAATTGTAAGTGGCTTTGGTTGAACTAATAACTTTTGGTTCTTCTTCGAGTTTTGGGCTACAATTCCAATATCACCTAATTCTTTTATTTTATCATTTAACTGACTCAATTTTAGTCCAGTGACACTTTTTACAACATCTTTTAAAATAGCATCTCCAATTCCTAATTCTTTTCCTTCCCAAGTAGGGGCAATTTGTCCAGTAGTTAAATTCAATACATCAGTTAAGTCGTTAGGACATATAGTTATTACAGTTTTAAGATAATTAGCATAAATCTCTCTTTTTTTCAACTTTCCACTTTCATTTTCTAAAGCATCAAAACAATCAGCTAAACCTTTGAATGGTAAAGTTTTTACTTTCTGTTCAGCAAAAGAATTACCATCTTCTTTTATCTGTAAATTTTGATTTTTTTCTTCAATAGATTCTTGTTCTTGATTTTTTTTTTCATTTCTTTTTTCATCACTTTTATTTTCTCCATTATTTTGACCTCCCGTTGTAGCTCGTTTGGCAGGTTTAAAGAACCGTGAGAGGGAGGATTGTCTTTTTGACATGAAATATAGATTTAAGTTTAAAACGAAAAATAAAAATGAGTTATTTGAAAAATAATGTTATATATACAAACATATAATAGAACTTCTAAAAAAACAGAGAAAAAAAAAGAAACTCAAAAATAAACGATTTTTTCACCTCTAAATCTAGATAAGAAGGAACTGTAAAACATAATTAATAGAGAAATGACCACCTTAGTAGTAGACAATGGAACTGGATTTGTTAAATGTGGATTTGCAGGAGAAAATTTCCCAACAGCCATCTTTCCATCAATGATAGGAAGACCTCTTTTAAGGTCTGAAGAAAAAATTGGTGGAGTTGAAATTAAAGATGTTATGTTTGGAGATGAAGCAGCTGCTGTAAGACAAAATCTTCAAATTACTTATCCATTAGAAAATGGAATTATTAAATCATGGAATGATATGGAATTATTATGGAACTATACATTTAATGAAAAATTACATGTTGAAACTAATGGCAAATCTATTTTATTAACTGAACCACCAATGAATCCACAACAAAATAAAAAGAAAATGGGTGAAATTATGTTTGAAAAATTTGGATTTAATAGAGTGTATGTTGCTGTACAAGCTGTTTTAGTCTTATATGCACAAGGTATTATGACTGGTGTAGTTGTAGATTCAGGAGATGGAGTTACACATATTATTCCAGTATATGAAGGATGTGACTTACCATCAGTTAAAAGACTTGATGTTGCTGGTAGTGATATTACTAGAAGACTTATTGAACTTCTTCTTATCAGAGGATATTCATTTAACAGAACAGCTGATTTTGAAACTGTTAGAATGCTTAAAGAAAAGTTTTGTTATGTTGGGTATGATCTTGCTGTTGAAAATAGACTTGGTACTGAAACTACTGTTCTTATGCAACAATACACACTTCCTGATGGAAGAGTTATTAAACTTGGACCAGAACGTTATATGGCACCAGAAATTTTATTCAATCCATCATTAATTGGTAGAGAATCACTTGGTATTCATCATTGTCTTTTTGATTCAATTAATCAATGTGATTTAGATCTCAGAGCAGAACTTTATAAACATGTCCTTCTTTCTGGTGGAACTTCAATGCTTCCTGGTTTACCTTCACGTTTAAAGAAAGAAGTTCTTCAATTGTACGATGAAAATGCTGCTGCAACTCTTAAAAAAGGATCTGCATCAGTTACTTCTCGTTCAGGAAATACTGGTAGTAATGTTAAGAAAGCTAGTGTTCAAATTGTTATTGAAGATCCACCAAGAAGAAAGCATTTAGTTTTCCAAGGTGGTGCTGTTTTAGCTAAAGTTATCGAAGATAGGGATGAGGCTTGGGTTACAAAGGCTGAATATGATGAAAGAGGTGCAGAGGCTATGTTGAAGAGACCTGGTTTCTAAAAAAGAAAATTCGTCTAATCGTTCAAAAACAAATTTTTTCAATAAATTTATGTTTTTGTATTTTCTAATAATTTTTATTTATAAAGATATTAAGTTATGAGTTTTTATTCTTCTCTTTTATTAAATGAAAATGAATGAGAAATGA